GAAGGCATGATGGAAGAATAATTCATAGCAAGATTGTATTCAACTATTTTACTCGATTCAAAGGTTATATTTGAAGTTCATTATGTGATCGACGAAGACATGATGGAAGGATAATTCAAAATACGATTCAATTAATCTGTTTTGCTCGATTGAAAGCATATATTTGAAGTTCATTAGATGATCGACGAAGACACGATAGAAGAATAATTTATATTAAGATTCTATTCAGGTAGTTTGCGCGATTCAAATTATATGTTTGAGGTTCATTATATGATCGACAAAGACATGATGGAAGAATAATTTATATTAAGATTCTATTGAACTATTTTGCTCGATTCAAAGCATATATTTGATGTTCGCTACATGATCGACGAAGACATGTTTGAAGAATAATTCATACAAACATTCTATTCAGCTATTTTGCTGGATTCAAAGCATCGATTTGTAGTGCATTGCATGGTCGACGAAGACATGATGGAAGAATAATTGATATGAAGATTCTATTCAACTATTTTCGTCGATTCAAAGCATATATTTGAAATTCATTAGATGATCGACGTAGGCATTATGGTAGAATAATTCATATAAACATCCTATTCAACTAGTTTTGTCGATTCAGGGCTGATATTTGGGGTTTAGTAGATGATGGACGAAGACATGATGGAAGAATAATTTATATCAGGATTCTATTCAACTAGTTTTCTCGATTGAAAGTATATATTCGAAGTTCATTGCAGGATCGACGAAGATATGGTGGAAGAATAATTCATATTATGATTCGATTCAACTATTTTGCGCGATTGAAAGCATATAGTTGAAGTTCATGAGATGATGGACGAAGACATGATGGAAGAATTATTCATATAAACATCCTATTCAACTATGTTGTTCGATTCCAAGGATATATTTGAAGTTCATTAGATGATGGACGAAGACATGATGGAAGAATAATTCATAGCAAGTTTTTATTCAAGTATTTTACTGGATGCAAAGCTTATATTTGAAGTTCATTATATGATCGACGAAGAAATGATGGAAGAATAATTCATAGAAAGATTTTATTCAAGTGTTTTACTCGATGCAAAGCTTATGTTTGAAGTTCTTCAGATGATGGACGAAGACATGATGGAAGAATAATTCAGACAAAGATTATATTCAACTAATGGGCTCGATTCAAAGCATCCGTTTGAAGTTCAGTAGATGATGGACGAAGACATGGTGGAAGAATAATGCATAGAAAGATTGTATTCACCTATTTTTCTCGATTCAAAGTATATATTTGAAGTTCAATACATGATCGGCGAAGACTTGATGCAAGAATAATTCATATCAAGATTCTATTCAACTGTTTTGCTCGATTCAAGGCAGATGTTTGAAGTGCACTACATTTTTGCAGAAGACGCGACAAATGAGTAAATACGAAGATTGTATTCAGTTATTCTGCTTAATGCAAAGCGACTTCGTGGACTTTGGTTAGGATGGGGAAGAATGGGAAATGAACGGCAGTTAGATTTTTTTTCAAATACTGCGGTGTGCTAATTGATGTGCTTTGTATTCTGTTGGTTGAAGTATTGTGTTGTGGCAAATGAAAAAAGCAGACGTTTGTTGCGTAAATGATTGAGAATGCCATTGTCATTGCCACTTTCGATTGCCGCCGCTTCTGCCATGTAGATTGTTGCCAGCAACACCAAGAGGGCAGCCAAACAAAGCGTTCGAATGATCTTTTGCATTGTTGTTTGTTACTGTTCAACGCTTGAAGAAGATGATAGATGAATATGAGTAAATATGTAAATGGTATGGTCTTACAGTGGTGCTTCATCTTTATATATATGTGGATCGCCAAGAGAGAGAGATACAGATTTATGCTTTTCTCGTAAAGCGAGAAAGATAAATTTAATTTTTCTAGCAGAGGGAGAGAGATACAGATGTTTCCAAAAACCCTGGACTCACATTTTTCAATACTGTTCTGATAAGATTTATTCGGTCAGTATGCACCTCGCCGAAAGTCAAAACTTCGAAATGCAAATCGTCGAAATTCGGCGATATAACTTTCGATGATCTGTTGTTTCGGCGATAAAACTTTCGACGATATAGCATTTTGACGACAGCATTATCGACGAAGTGCATCTCCACAATACCAGTTTGCGGCCGTTCATATGTCAAAAACTGAAACTGTCAATCACACTGTAAAATGATATCTTCCTCTTATAGCTGTTCTCATATTATGTGTATCCTTACCAATTCTAATTGACGGTAAGAATGAGACCATATACTAACCTGACTTGTGAACTTATATCCCAACTGAATGTAGGAAGTTCCTAACTTAACTTAGGAACTTCCTAAGTTAAATTATAAAGTTCCTAAGTTAAGTTAGGAACTTCCTAAATTAGGTTAGGATCTAGGATTCGCAAGGGGGCATTTTCCCAGAGGTATGGTTGATTCAGGGCAAAATCACCTTTTGAATATTATTTTAGATAGTACGAACTCGGTTTTTAGTCGATTTTTGCTGCGAAAAATGGAAAAGAGTTTCTTCAAGGGGAAGCATGCAAGGCCTCCGTTGTTCTGTTTTCTCTAAATCCTCCAATGAGCTGCAATGAACGCATATTAGCTGAACAGTTACTCTTTTTGTATACATCACGATTTATGATGTATATCTGTGAAAGCAAAAGACAAGGGTAGCTAGCAAAAAGAAAGATGTTGGATGACAAAGATAGTGATATTGATCATCGAAAGATTTCGGTAATGTCTATTTCGACGATAATCATATCGACTATGTCTATTTCGGCGATCTTTCTTTTCGATAACGTGTGTTTCGGCGTGACATTCGGCGATCTTAGTATTCGGCGATTTCTTTTTCGGCGATGAGGCATACAATCATTTATTCATTCTTTTGATTCTAATATCAGTCGATAGCTTGTAAAAAAAAACACTACGCATCGGTATATTTAGATATAATTTTCATCGACTCTTAGAAGACACATGACGCATATATGTGCTACAATTGAAAGTGACAAAAAAGATTAAGAATATTATACAAGATTCATATGATGAACTCGTATTAGCAATTGTAAAAGCTAGAAGGCATTGCCAAGTTACAAATACAATATAGAAAACTCAAAACTAACAGAATCATTTTAGAATGGAAATTGTAATGCACAAAAATGTTTAAAAAATTCAATCTGGAAGAAAATTAACTACTCCTTAATTCCATTATAAAATTAAGAAATATTGTTAAAACTAGTATTCATATTGAGAAAAGTTCATTGGACTTGTTTTCAACGATTCCAGATGAAATAGATAGACAAAAAGCAATAAATAATTCTTGAAAGACGTGTGAATTTTTGTCACTGCCAAATTCTTTTTTCTTTTATTTTTCTTCTAAGAGTTGATGAAAATTATGCGGACAGTTTAGGTATCCTACGTTGAATTGTTGCTATGGAGATGTCTATCTCTGCCAATACGTAGTGTTTTTTTATCGGCTACCCACTGATATTCAAATCAACAGAAATAAATACATTTTCTAAAAGTAATATTGAAAAATGCTAGTTCAAGGTTTTTTGCAAACATCTTTTGAATTATTTTTCTTGCAGAGAGAAGATCTAGAGTCACTACTTTTCTAGTAGGAAAGAGTAAGAGAAATTGATTTTTTTTCGTAGAGGGAAAGAGACTCACTATTTTGCTCGTAGAGGGAGAAAGAGAAACAAGAACATGTTAATCTGGTAACTGTCAGCTAAAATGAAGGCTATCTTGAAAGTGTGTGAATTAACACACATGATGTGTCGCCATACACGGGGATTAGTGACAAGTCACTATAAGGACAAACAGAATGTTATCGCACGAACATTTGATACGATATTCTCTCTACAAAAGATGGAGAACGAAAGATTCACTTCAAGATCAGGCTTCGAACTACGCATCTCACGATATCCGTCGATTGCTCTAGAACAATTGAGCTGCCTCGAATTTTTACTGTCTTTAATCTTTGAGTCCATAATGTAAATGACTTCTAAAATAATTAGATTTATCTCGATTCTGGGTTGAAGGATCAGTATCAGGGATTCATAGAGATTCCTAAAGATTCCAGGAGATTCCGAGCGGTGAGGGTGAGAGTAAATCAATCGAAAAACAGACTGATCCTATCTCTTGACGAAAAGACAAAACCAATCTGCTATTCCCAACTTTTGCTTTTCAGCAATCGACTAAGTCAAAGATAAATTAATAATAAAATGATAATAACAATTATTGTGCTTTTAAAAGTAATAATATTAAAAAAATGCAGAGTTAATTCGTCGACGCGTTTCGTGCTATTTATCTTATAAATTAAACACTCTTCAGAACTCTGCAATACATATTAAAGCACAATAAGAAAAAAGAAAAAACAGAAAATAATAAAGCAATAGAAATGAATAAACATAAAATAAGAGAATAAAAAAGGGGTAAGATGTAAAATTGATGAAAGAAAAAAAGAGGATTGAAATTGAAATTTCGAAAATGGAACTATAATAGAATATTTAATGATATAAGATAATGATGAAAAAATGTTTTTAATATCGATTATTTATCGAAATATTTTGTTTTTATAAATCTTAATTATAATATAATGTAATAATGGCACATTATTGAATAATTGATTCAAATGAAAGTAATTTAACGCAATTATGTTATCAACAATAAATCATATGACAGCTATTCTTGTTTACATATTGTGTATTTATATATTTTAGCTCAGATGAAGTTGCTAATATTTGAAATACGCGATGTAAATCGGCTTCTAATGAATGGTAAGTTCTTTAATTAGCGATTATTTTTAATCGATGGGTATGTACTAAAACGTCGTTGTAAGTTATCTCGATTGTTTTTTTTTATGCAATGTATCATAATTATTAATAGAAAATGGCACATTTATATCAAATTTAAATAAGTGACGATTAAATTGTTAATACAAATGGTATATGAATATTTGATAATGGTTGTTTTCTATGTTTTAGTAAAGAGATAAATTATAATTGACGAGTATCTACTAGACGTCGTTGTAAATTATCAACATTACGTGTACCGAGAACAGGTATAATTTCACTCATAGGAGATTCAAGAAAGTATTTTTGCCAAAGTGCATGGAATTTTGCTGGAAATGTTCTCATACTTGAACAATATGTAAAATGAACAAATATTGTTTTCCCATGATCAACTAATTGTTTTTCTTGAATGGGAGTATATATTAATTTTTGACGTAATGTATTATAATTATTTATAGTTAATGGTCGATTAATATTAAGTTTCGGTAGGACATGATTAAATTGTTGATTGATAAGTTCTCCTGGATATTTATTTAATAATAAAGCCATTCGCAGTTTTCCATGTTCATCTAGATATGCTTCGAGTGTAGAACAATATCTAATGGTACGAAGTAGCATACCAAAAGGTATGTTCTTATTCATGTGTGTAGGATGAATATACTATTGAATGGCAAGTAATATGGTTCATAGGATGGCTTGTGATATACTGTAGTAAATAGTTTGCCATCTTGATTTTCCATATGTAAATCCAGAAAGTCCGCATGTAAACTAACATCAGCTAATAATCGAATATTTTCATCGAATTTATTCCAACGATCAACTTGTTTCATAAAGTGACGCATAGGCCAATTAATAATAATAAATATATCATCAATATAACGCAAGTATAATCCACCGCTATTATTAACTTGCTTTACTATATCACGCTCAAAGACGAACATATAACAATTAGCGATGATAAGCGTAAGTGGCGAGCCCATAGCTCTTTCTCTAATTTAATGGTAAAATCTGTCGTCATAAGAGAAATAATTGTTTTGCATGACAAATCCGGCTAAACGTATAATAGCTTCGGTCTTTAGACCATTAATTTGTTTTAATTGGAGATGATCCAACATCTTTTTTAATGCTAAAACTCCTTCGACTTGGGGTGTGGGTGTAGGTGTGGGTGTGGGTGTGGGTGTGGGTGTGGGTGTGGGTGTGGGTGTGGGTGTGTGGGTGTGGGTGTGACTGTGGGTCTGGGTGTGGGTGATAATAAGAGCGACACCCACACCCACACCCACACACATCGACACCCACACCCACACCCACACNTCTCGGCACATAAAAGAAAGTATTCTTAAAGTACTCCTAGAATTATAATATGCAAGCTAACCATGTCAAGCGGTCTTTCAAATTTCATAATAGATTAAAATTAATCGAAATCGAATGTTTTAACGGTAGCCCTTGCAATAAATTTCACGTAGATATTTTTTAAAATTTTCTTTTCTGCTAAAACATTATGAAAAATTGATATCTTCAGATGAAACCCGAACTCTAAAATCGTGAATATGATAGAGTATTGCGTTTGAAAAAATAATTATGAATAATTTACACAAAATTAAAGAAATTCTACCCTACATATTTTAAATATATGTCTTTATTAGAAAAACTGTTCTACGTCACGATATAGCATTTGTCCAATTTTTTGAATTTTCGCAGCATTAAAAAATTATATCGTTTATTATCTTTTTCATTTTAATATAAACAAGTGTAACTTTATTCAATTCGTGATAAATTTTGACAGAAGACTTCGCAGCGCGTGATATATATGTATTTGATCTTTTATATCGAAGTACTCATTGCTTGATTCCATTTGTATCATACTGGAATAAAAAATGATCAAACAATTTATGCATTTTTTTTTCTTTCTTCAAACGTGAACGTAAACGAGCATATCCATGCAGTCATTGCTATTTAACGCCCTCTCTCTAATCAAGAGAGGCTCTATTCTTCGCTTTAGTGCAATATTGAAAAATGTATGTAGCGCTAGTCTGCCGTTTACCGAAGCTCTCCTCTTCCATGATTTGATTGTTAATACAAAAAATTTGAAATCAAGTGCAAGTAGCAATCATTTGTATTGTTTCATATGAGTTAAGCGCAATTCTAGAAAGTTTCCAACTAGTAAAGTCTGAGTTGATCTTCTTGATGATAAGTGTAAACAGAAAAAGCGAAATCAAACGCTTGATTTTGCGTTCATTCTGCAACTTTCAATTTGCTAGTGAAACCATGTCTATTTTAAAAATTACTTAAACATAATTTCTCTTTTTACACTGTTTTAGATTAAATTATAGCTTTTTTTGACATGGACGAAAACAACCCAGCATATGATATATCGGTATTACCTGATGATGTTTTCACATATTGTGGTGATAAATTTTTTCAATTAGTTCATACTTTAGTTGGGAATGATATTGTTGACATATTAAAAATACAATCAATTAATTCCACACAATCATTTATTAATACTAAAGATGTATTAGCTATATTTCAACTGGATTGTCCAGATTTATTACAAATTAAAGAACGATTATGCTTCAAATTATCAAATGGAAACTTCATCATAAAAATTGGTATAGAAAGCAGTTTAAAATATCTTACTGCTATTTTTAAATTAAAACAAAACGGAAATGAACCACAAGCAAGAACACATGGCGACAGTATCAGTGATAATAGATTACACGATTTAATAAATCGTAATCCATTACTGAAATCATTATTTTCTTGGTATAACCAGCAACAACAAGAAAATAATATTAATAATAAAACGTTTCTATCTTTCTTTATCGATAATATTACAAATAATTTATCAAAATCAAACAGCCAATATCGATACAATGATGTGGTCAAACGTTTTGCTATTTGTTTATACATATTAGGCGGAAAACTGACGTAGAATTCGTTCGATTAAATATTACTGGAGCATCACTCAGCTTAATAACATTGCATAATATAATATCGGATCAAAATCTTACAATAACTGAAGGTCGATTTCGATTCAATGAATTAAAGCAACATTTAAAATTGCTTGATACTAAATTTGGTTTCGTTTCTGAAGATTGTACGGGAGTAATTCAAAAAATCAAATACAATGAAGGCACAAATTCATTCATCGGATTTTCGACTCCTTTAATAAATGGGATACCATCTGTTAATCATTTCAGAACAGATTCATTAGAACAATTAAGAGCCTGATTTTCTTCCATTGATAAAGCATCACTGTTGAATATTAATATGTTCCAACCAGTGTCCTCAAATCATCTGACTTCATCAGCGCCATTCTTACTTGCAGCCTACGGTATAAATAATCAATATCGATCAATTGAAATTCTAAAACGTTGGACTTACATTTATGATGAATGTTGTAAAAAAACAAATAAGAATTATTGGTTTCTCCACAGGTATGATCACATATGAATGCCTCTCTTTCTCTCTCTCTCTCTCATGGTACCCGTTGAACCTTTGAAAACAATCAGACCTATGCTACTACTTTTGTCCAGTGAGAAACATCAGAGACTTCAGTTTTAAAGTTCTGTAAAGTTGAAGTCTCACAAATTCTTCTGGGGTTATATAAAGTCTGTCGAAATTCCGTGAAATTCAATGCAGTCTTTGTAAAGTCATACGAGGTTTTATGGAATCTGTTGAAATCCTTGGAAGCCTATGGACGTCTCTTTAAAATTTGAAGTCTCTTTATATCTTTTGAACTCTTATAGCCTTGAAGTCTGCTGTTTTCTCCACTACTTTTCCTTATTATTTAGCTACTTTTTAAAAATTTTCATGAATAATCACTGATAATTCTTTTCTTTCGTTTTGGAACAGATGCCGATCCGAAATACTTAAGTTCCATGCGTTTGGCTAGTGGCTTCTTTGCCAATCTTACAAACATTAAACTACACGAAAAATCGGATGCATTTAAAATCAGTTTACCGTCACATTGGGCATGGTTTTTTCTTCGTTCGCAACAATTATTCTTGTTTTTCCAAGACGCTACACATGTTGCCACTAAATGGCGAAATCGTTTATTGTCGTCCAAAGCCCAACTTGTTCTTGGTCAACAAGGAATTACTATGCAACATCTTCAAGATATAATCGATAATGGATATACCAAAATTGACCATGGTTTAGTACAAACTGATATTAATCCAAAAGATAAACAAAATTATGCTTCATGTGAAAAAATAGCATCTGAAGATGTTTTAAATATTTTGAAACAGAATAAGGATACTCAGGCTACTGACGTTTATCTTCGACTATTGAAACATATAATTATTGCATACATCGAAAAGACAACAAACATAAAAGATCGTCTGCATTCAGCATGGGCCATTGTATTTACTTGTCGTCTCTGGAGATCATGGATAAAGCACAACACATTCATCAGTTCAAATTCCACAAGAAAAAATAAGAAAAATAACAACAAAGATAAATACTTTGTGACAACTCCAGTCTATTATTCAATTGAAATCAATGCACACAATTTATTATACTTAATATTGTTAGTGAAGCAACAGCAACTACCTAATAATGCGTTGAATGTACATTTATTTAGTTCTCAGGCATGTGAATCCACATTCAGAAATACAAGAGCATTGAGTGGGACTTATTCAACAATGGTAAATTTTACAGTTAGTGATTTTCTCGGACGAGCTGAAAAATTATCTGTGTTGCAACAAATAAAGTGTTATGAAGAAACAAATAATAATGGGCGCGTATTATTTCCAACACATCATAAACATAAACAAAAAAATGATTTAACAACATATCAAAATATCAATAATATTGATACATTAAATATTGAAGAAGTGATTTTGACCGCTTATGAAACAGCAAAAAAGCTTCTTGAAAATTTGGAAATATCGAACTTGTTAAAGCGACATAATATTTATCAACTAAACAATCTTAGCCAGCACGTATATGATGATTTGAAATCCACTAGTAGAACAAGTGATCATTCAACTTTTGACTCAAGCCACGAAAGTGAAAGCGACTCTGAAGATTGTTTATCATTAGAAGACGATAGTATTGATGAAGAAGATGGATATTCTGATGACAATAACAATGACGACGAATTATCCACCACAAAAACAAATTTCTCCGGTATACGCCTATTTAATTTCATCAATCCAGATCTAAAAGACTCTTATTTTAAAATTTATCTGAACAACGGTATCAAATACATGCACAAACAAACAGCATGTTGGCTTCTAACTGACAAAAACAATCAATTGTCATCTGATCGTTTAAAGAGAGTGATTGAAACAAATAGACAAGAATAAGAATATCAAAAAACACTATTATTATCTTCTCTTTTCTTAATGTTCTGTAATCGATTTGTTGTATTAAAACATTTTTTTGCAATTGCGTCGGACTCATGACATCATTTTTTGCCCTAATGACCCGAAAAATGGTCAAGAGAGAGAGAAAAATCTTAGAATTTGACACAACAGAGTCGTGCTTGAAATTTAGCATTTGTACTTATTTCCAGGTATTTCTACGTATTTCTACGTATTTCTACGTATTTCTAGGTATTTCCAGGTATTTCTAGGTATTTCTAGGTATTTCCAGGTATTTCTACGTATTTCTACGTATTTCTACGTATTTCTGAAGTACAGAAATACTTAGAAATACGCTTTTCCCCCCTTGCTTTTAGACGTTCTAACTTTCTTGAATCAAATTGACCAAGTTGTTGAAAATATACAAAATCCTGGTTTATTTTGAGTCATTCATTATTCTTGATTATTGAGTCAATCTTTGATGTAAATTGAATGGTAGACTATTCCGGACGTATCTGCAGCTGCTCTCCAGGCCGTTGTTCAGATCTTCGTTCGGCTTCTTGTTTGATCATTGCTTGTTGAATATGAGTTGGTAAACCTGGATTGAGACTCAATGCGTAAGGTAAAAGCGTTTTAGACATGTCACTAAAATCAACCATCACTTTAATGAACATTGTGTCATCTCGTACATAAGGATTTCCTTCCTGTTGAATTATTTCCAATGGAAAAAATTTTGGTATCCCACTAGCTATATTCATATCCGATCGAGGTCGTTGAAAACTACTCGATCGAATGTCTGGTCGAAATGAATCAATAATATGTCGTTGTGCAGATGTCTGATCATACAAACAGAAGGTCACTTTATAGTTGAATGGAAATTTGAGCATCGGATCATTGAAACTTCGCATAAGCACAAAAAAGAGTGACATATGTGTACGACGAGCATTTCCGTCACCATTTAAATAAAGACGAGCTCTCATTTTATAACCATTTGGAGATGAATAAAATGGAGGCGAATAAATAGATGTTTGTCTTTCAGATTGTGCATCAACTAGAAATTAAGCAAAAAAATAATTCTATGAACAAGAACAGAAGGAAGTGTAAAGAAATTTAAAGAATTGACATCATTTACAGTTTATTTCGTCAATTATTGATTCGAGAGTAATTATATATTACGTTGGATAATTTGTCGATGTTATAGGAACCGCATAACATCTATTATAGGCTTATCACTTTGAAAGAATATTCGGTTTTTTATGACTTATCGTAAGAGTAATTGCTCAACTTACTCATTTTCTCTTGAAAATTTGTAATTTTCCATAATAATGTTCCATCATATGAAACATATTGGAAATCATTCATTTTTTCTTGGATTGATGCTAAATCTTGATTGAGAATGTCTTGATTATATTTCACTCCTTCGAGGAAAGCATTTGATTCTTCATTCGATAATTTAACTTTTGATAATTGTTCTGTTAATGTTGGAATTGTTACTTGAATTTGAAGTGATTCATTACTTAGACGCTGTTGGTCATTATTCAATGTTTCAATACCACCTGACAATATGTGGAGCATTTCATAAATTTCTTGTAATTCAGCTGTGACTAGATTACAAGCTCCTGCTGTTGTTATTTGAGAAAGATTATTATATACCTGTCTACCACTTAATTGCAATAATATTTGACGAACAAGTTTCATTATAGCATGTTGATGCTTTTCAGTTAAATAATGATCTTTTATTTTGACACGGATAATCTCAAGAAAAAGAATTTTTAGATTTCAATTTCATCTAGAAAATATTCATACTTGTTCATTACAACCAAAATCTTTCAATATACAATCGACAATCAGTTTCTCACATTCAGAGATTTTATGTTCATTGCATTTGTTAACTGAGTTGAATTCTTTGCCACAATATTCGCATTTCAAGTTTGAATGATTTTCATCAAGATGTTTCTTTGAAAGCAAAAAAGAATAGAGTATTCATAAATAAATTTAATCTAAAATAAATTACTTGATAATTATTTAAGATACCAGTCCATTCACAAAAAGAACAATCAATATGTATTAATTTCATATCATTTTTAAAACCTCGATCAAGAAGTATCTAAAAAATAATAATCAAATTTATTTTCTCTTTAATTCTGAAGAGATATGTTACTTCGGTTCTTGATGTTTCAGATTGGCATTGTCGACATTTAATTGTTATTCTTGAAAAAGAATAATGAAGAATAAAACTAAAATTTGATTATGAAACTTACTCATGTTGAACATCGAAACACGATTGACACTGTCGATGACCACATTTACTTAATTGTACAGGATCTCGTAGTATCAATGTACATATAGGACAAATATACTTTATATCAAGAATATGTTTATTTTTTGCATCGATTCCTACCATTATTTTAATTTAAGTAATATAAAACGAATGTTCAACGTTAGTTAGAAATAAAATCAATTGCTTTTTATCTCTGTTTTTTTTATCGTTTTCTCTGTAGATGAAAGTTTTGGAAACTGTCAAAACGAATGAAGCTAGTTTGCTTTTTTAAAAAGTGAATAGATACAAATAATGCTTTGAAATGAAAAGATACGAAGATTAATATATCTAGAATTCAAAAAAATTAGTATTAAAACACAATAAAGATTTCAATTGTTCAAAATGATAACTATTTAGCAGTTCGAAATATATTAGAGATCTAACAATATTAATATTATCAATATCATCTTATATTGACCAGCATTGGTATTAATTAGGGGTTAACAGTTCATGCAGACACTTAAATGAGCGCTCAATTAAACGTGAGTGTTTCTGATATGTCTCGCATAGAGGAAGCAAGTTACAGTTATTTAACAATTAGCTGGTGAGGTAATTGTTGAGTAACTATAACTTAATTTCCATATGTGAAACAGCAGAAAAGTTCATGCACCTGAGTGCTCATTTAGGCGTGAACATGAGCTGTAAACCCTTCACCAATGCTAATACCGATACTCACCGATATCGATATCTACACAAACGAATACGGAAATACCGTATTGGTATTGTGACATCCCTAGAAATAAATTTTCTCACTACTACTAGATCAATCTTTCGTTCATGGTGGGTATGTTGGTGAAAATTTTGATTACAAAATGAATCATCATTGATAAAAATTATTTGAGCATCGAAACAGTTATTTCAAAGCCTCTTCCTAATGTCACTTGAGTTCTATATTGATGTATTGGCAGTTTCTTCCAACTTTTTTTTCAAAGAATGATTAGTCTGTTGGTTTATTTCAATATCGATTCTTTATTTTTCTGAGGCCTAGTTGGAAAAACCCAGAAATATGTTGGAAAAGACAATATAGACGAGAAATAGAATCAGTAATCAAAATGAATATGCAACAGAAATAATCTTTATGTACTCCAATAGAATCGTTGACAGAAAGGAAAGAAGAACATGGGAAAATTCCTTCCCTTAATAAGAGTCTCCTTTAGGAAACCCAATTTTTCGGAAAAAGCAAATCGAAGTTAAGTTTTTTTTTAATAGGAACGTGTAGCAAAATTTTGTCTATCATAATATATATGACTCTTAACAGAATGGTCATGTTTTAACAAACTTCGATCCTACTATCGTGCTTTACAAGAAGTTTTCGCGGTTTTTTTAAAAAAGTTTTTCAGTTTTATTAATTTAAGCAAGATAGACGATACTAGCTTACGCTATATATTACATGCCTGAAAAAATTTCATTTAGATATATATTATGAATAGGCCATTTGAATATGTTTTCGTTCTGGATTTGAATGATAAAAATTCATGGCTAACTTATTATTCATTGTTCTCAAAACATGGTTTTCAATCAGAATAACTGAAATTCTTCTCACACAGTTCCACATATTGTTAATATTTTTTTTGTTTTAAAAGTTCCAAATGAGAGTAAACTTTTGTTCGAGCAATTTTTTCATGGTTGATTTTTCTATTTAGAAAAGCGACTTTTAGTGTTGTGAAGTCACTATTTTTTTTGCTTGTTTTAACATCATATGTACTAAAATGGTTATAAAAAAATAAACGAAAATCAATTTCAGCAATTGCGTACAGGCATTGCCTTTAGTTTGAAAGCATCTCAAGCTCTATACTCCTTGTAGTGATGAATTTATAGTGATTCTTTAGAAGATTATCAATAAGCTGTAACTCTGGTCTAGTTTTACAGATTGGGCTGAAACTTTTACTAGAAGAATTTCTCACTAAAACCGCTCATTTCTGAAAGTTTCAGGCCAAATAGACCATTTTGAGTGATAAATCTATTGTAAGCGGAGGATGATGACTCATTATATAGCAAACTAATTGTTTCAGGAAAGTTCAGATGGCATTGTCTGTGAAACTGATCGACCGCTTTTTTTTATTAAAGCTCGTTGCATAAATGCTCTGTATACAAATAACAACGGATCTAGGATAGTTGCTCGTAGGTGCACTTTCTCAGTAGTGTAAGTGTGGGTATCGTTATAGGTGTAGATGGAAAGAAGCCCTACATCCGTACTAATTCAGATCCATACCTGCATCAACGAGCAAATGTCCTTACCTGGAACTATCTGATTCCTATAACAACATTGATGCAGGTGGATCACAATTAATCACAATGATACATCCAACATGAAGAGTATTACATAACGATAATCTTCGTCATATGTTTCTTCTCAGAATTAGTGTCATCATACGAAAGTATCATAGACGATTTTTCGTTAATGTGAACCATGTTCGAATGTGACAGGTAGTGATCATAAAGAGTGTTTTATAATAACTAACGATAAATTGTTAACGATAGTTTCTATACTTTTTTTGACATAAAGAGCTGAAATGTTTATCGCACATATATCTAATCAAGGCCTGTTATTTCTGAAAGTTTCAGCTCTTTACGTCAAAAAGAAAGTATAGAAGCTATCATTAACAATTTATCGTCAGTTATTATGAAACACCTTGTATATATTAGTTTCACAGTTATTTCGATAGTGTCGTTTATCAACATA